CCTGCTTAGGGTCCTGGGGGACCCAGTCCCTGGGTGACCGTGAGCTCAGGTGCCCACCTGTGTGGTGAACCATTCCTCCACTTCTCTGCGGTTCGTTTCTACCAGGGCCTCATACTGACACCTGGTCTCATTGAGCACACGGTTCAGGTCCACAGTGGGAGCGGCATCCACCTCCACGTTGAGGCGGTCTCCAAGCTGGCAGCGCAGGGTGTTGACTTCCTACAGATGTATATATTCAGAGTTACTCCCCCTCAATGAGTCTCAGAAATAACCCTGCCTGTGGAAGCCCTCCTAAGACTACTTCCTCCGGAAAGAACCTTGGAGTGCAGCAGTCTATCATATCAGCTCAAGGCAAACAGTCTCCATGAGCTCAGCTCCCCCTTCACCATTACCCTGCCATGACATTGGCTTCAAGGGGAAATCCCAAGGGTTTGCTGAGCTGCTGCTGCTGAAGAACAGGCTAACAGACAAGTTTCCCAGATTGGAAACTGTGAGACCCTTGAATGCAAAAAGATGGCTGGACCGATTCAGATTGTCTGTCAAATCTTTTTGCTACCAAAAAAGAAGCAAAATCGTGTCATAGCACCTCCTAGGAGAAGCCACTCATTCCTCACCAAGACTTTGGAAGAGTTCAGGCAACACTCATCTGCCTTGACTTATTGGTCTTAGCAAGAGAATAATCAGATCACCAATATTGCAAGTCTGGAACTCTACAGCTCTGTGTCCAATTGCCAGCAAATGGAGATGTCTGGGAAACCATACATGGGTTTTTAATGTGAGGCCTATCCTGTCTGAGAACATGGGCCAGTTCATCTATAGTTTTCTCACATCAGGTCTTGGTGGCTTTGAAGGGGATTCATAAAAACATCCTGAGATTTACGTTTATACCCTTAGCTCTGCTTCTCCCAACCCCAAAGCCTGAGGCTGAGTTAGGCTCTTCATCTGGTCTCACCTCCTCATGGTTCCTCTTGAGACACAGCAGCTCCTCCTTCAGGGACTCCACCTGCGCCTCCAGGTCAGACTTGCACAGAGTCAGCTCGTCCAGGATCCTGCGCAGGCCGTTGATATCCGACTCCACCAGCTGCCGCAGCGACAGCTCTGTCTCATACCTGAAAAAGTGCAGGGTCAGAGCAGCAGCTGGTGGGTCTTCCAGACTCCAAACATTAATCCTTGCTAGACGCCATTTGCCTTGCCTTCCTACTTCCTGCGATGAATAGACCCAGGGGACAGAGAGTTCTGGATGCTCCATCAAAACCCAACCTTGTACTTTTCTGTTTTTGTGATTCCTTTTGCTTGGTTCTGCCCCCAACGTCTTTGGCAGAACCATTCACATCTCACAGATTGTCTGCTGTTTGAAAAAGCTATGGAAATCTCTTTCCTTAACTGGAGGTTAAGCCAAAGAAGAGGATGCTGGTGTGAATGCCAAACAACTCACTTAGTCCTGAAGTCATCTGCAGCCAGCTTGGCATTATCTATCTGCACCACCAACCTAGCATTCTCAGACTTGCTGCACAGGATCTGCGGAAGGAGAGACCGAATGAATTAGTGAGCATGAGAAATAAATGCAAAACCATCAACTTCTATAACAGGGTTATTTTGAAGGGAAAATGGGAAAGCAAGGGTCATTGTGAGATGGAAACAAGAAACACTTCTCTACCTCAGGCTGAGAACCATAACAAGTAATGGTAATCACTTAGACATGACAGCATGGCCCCTCACCTTCTGCTGCAGCTCCTCAATGGTCCTGAAGTAGGCCTGGTAGGCAGGGCACACCAGAGGGTCCTGCTGCTGGTTCCTCTCCTGGATCCGACACTCCAGCTCTGCATTCTCTCTCTCCAGCTGCCTCACCTTCTCCAGGTAGCTGGCCAGGCGGTCATTCAGGAACTGCATGGTCTCCTTCTCATTGCCATTGAAGGAGCCCTCACAGAACCAATTGCAGTTGCCCACATTGGCAGGGATGTTGCAGGCCCCGGGCAGGGTGCAGCCGTGGCAGCTGTTGGGCACGCAGGGCCGGGAGGAGCAGCTGGTGCGGCAGCTCATGGTGGGCAGGCAGCAGTTGTATGGCATGGTGCTGGAGGGAGTGAGGTGCCTGGCTGAAGACACAAGAGTGGATTCTCCAAGCCTCGGAGCTCTAGGTCTTCTTCCTCTGGTGAGAATTTATAACCCTTCTGCAGAGGGTGTGGACACAGTATGTAACATGTTTCTTCTTTGTACTTCTTCACTGGTTTTCAGACGCCCTCTCCATCCGTCTGTCATTTGCCTCCCTCAGAGGAGTCCCTGGTCCCATAAAATTCTTTACTTGAGCTTCTTGCTAAGTCAGGACTCTTCTTCTGCCATTACACCCATGAAATCGGAGTCCTGCGGTGTACCTTCAAAGAAGCCACATGGTCCAGCCCTGGTCAGCTGGGTGTTGGTCCATCCCAGTGACATTCTTCTGTATGAAGAGATCCTGAAGACCCATAATCAACCTCCTGTCCTAGCTAACCTGGCAGAGAGAGAGAGAGAGAGACAGAGAGACAGAGATTGCGTGAAGACATTACATTCACTCACAGGCATCAATTCTTGTTCCTGGTGATTAGAGACAACTCTCTGAATGCTGCCGCATTCCAGGCCAAGGATGGATGACTGTGGTGGTGATTTGGGCTGATCTGAGCCTTGACTGTGAAGGTTGGAGAGATCTTTGTGGTTTACAGGACCATGTTAATGCCCTCTGTTATCACTTAAGAGAATGGTAGAGATTTTAATAATCGCCTTGAGAACAGAGAAGTTTCTAGAAGGAGAGACAGTTTTGAAAGAGGTCTGAAAAATATTAGCTGATGGGTCAGTGTAAATTCATTTAAACTGTCTAGGAAAAGAAACGTGGGAATAAGGACGTGTTTATCAAACTTTTACATGGGACATCAATCAAAACAGAATGAATGGGCTCATTAGGAAAGTAAAGAGATAACCCAAAAAGGTTAGGAATACAGGTTTGTGGTAGGTAGGGCACTGCCTACTATATGCAGTTTCCTGGATTCAATCCCCAGCAAGGTAAAGAGATAGCCCAAAAGGTTCTCCCCAGGCAAGAAATCACTTTATCTTAAACTTGAGCAAATTGGCTCTATAGTATATAACATATCCATGTCAGCTTTAACATTAAAAATCATTTTTAAATTTCCAGTTAAACTTTCTAACATCCTGCCAAATTCTCTAAGTTCAAAGTACATATATACAATGTTCTGTTCTGGACATCCAAAGCTCCAGCCCTACTGATGTGCATATAGATGTTCTAAGGACAAAGGGTCCAAAAGTATGAAAGGAAGGCTATGTTATATCATTGAAGCCAAGGGCCTAGATGCTAGGGAGGAAAACACTGAGGTACCACCTATAAGCACAGGATTTGACCAGGGGTAGAGGGCCTGGGTGGGGGGAATGGAGGCAAGCTAGAAATGGGTGGCATGGCAGTGGATGGGACCAGAGTTCTGAGGATGAGATGGCCCAAATTAGGAGTATAAAAGTTACATAATTATAGACACTACCAGATACTGCCTGCATCTCCAGAGCATCACCCCAAGCTCCTGTGGCTTTGGCTGGCAGCCAGAGCTCCTGCTTTATTGTCAACTTATTGGAGCCCTGCTCTCTGTGAGCTTTCATGGCAGTCTTCATGTGGCTGGAGTCTCCGATAAAAGATCCAGTGTCTGCACTCTCCAAGACCATTACCCCCACTTACTATAAAAACATTGAGATTTTTAAAGGCCCAGAGCACTACAAAGCAGCCTTGGACTTTTAATAACATCAAATTTTCTTTGTTTTTTTCCCAAGACTATTAAAGTGGGAGAAATAGGCGGGTCTGGAGACAGGTACCACCCAGACTTTCCAGCAGAAGGAGACAAGGCCAGCACTGGCCGGGAGCTTCTGTCACCTTCCATCTGGACTTGGAATGGTTGGCAAGGACACTGCATGCAAAGATGACAACCCATGGGTAAAGACCAGAAGAACCTGACTCCCCCATACTTGTCAGCCTGCTCCAAAGCACAGGCTCCCCAGAAAAAGAGCTGCTTCCTCAACCTGCCTTCTTCCCCATCCAGGGAAGCCTGGCCCTGAGCACAGACGGAATGCCTGCAGCTTCCCCAACCCTTCGCTCTTACCTATGGGCTGCCCAGTGTAGCCCCCTAGAGGCCTTCACCAAAGAATGGTAAGGTGTTTATATAGGAGAAGATTTGCCAATTTGGTCATCCAGGAGGGCAGTAATAGAATCCCACCAATACAGAGAGATCAAAGAAATGGAGCCAGATGGAGACAAGGAGGAAGATGTCCAACAAGAAAGACAAGAACATTCAGAAGAAAGCATCAAGGGGGAAACATGGACGGGAATCCCGGAACTGTGCAGAGCCGCATGAATCAGACAGAGCTAGTCCACTTTCAAATGGGCTAATCTGCAGAGTACAAAGCTGAAAAGTAACCAAAACGTACGAAATTGATGGTCAGAAAAACAGCCTACCCTGCTGAGGGCCCTACAAGACCTGCAGACACAGGACCATGGCTTCTGGGGTCTCTGAAAGATCAACCTCGACCCACAGCATCCAGAGCAGAGCATCATCTCCATCATCCAAGTCTCAGATTTGTTTGTAGCTGAAATACACTGTTGTTTGCATTCCGGTGATGCAAACTCCAAGAACAGCAATGCCATTTGCTCCTTATGAGTACGGAATATTAGAAGTCAAAAGGAGAAAGGAATGGGGACAGTCAGACATGCACTGGCTTCAGGTGTTGGCCAAGCATCTGTCACACTGAAGATGCGGGAAGGGCAGGTTACCTCTGTCATCTGCAACCTACTCCTGGAGGTATCTGGTTTCCCTGCTGACTGCCCTGCAGAAGGTGATGTGGAACAAATCAAGATGGAGACCTCGGACAGACTGGCTGGTGAGTAAGCACAAGGCTGGCACCCCTTGTCAGTCCAGCCTCCCTTGCAGTGCTTTCAAAATATCGACCAGCTGGAGAAGAGTTGCCTCTTGAGCTAATAAGGGAAATGAGACCCCCGGCATAAAGGTTCCAGGGATCTCACTCAGGCTAGCGGTAGATTTAAATGCTTTCTTGACTTAATTGGAATGTTTTATTTGCATGTTTTAATCCTTCTAAGAGAGACTGAACTCTCCATCGACCCTCAAACCTGCCTTTCTTTATGTGATTCAATTTAGTTCAAAATACATTCCCTAGGCATCTTTTCTATGCTAAAAACAGAACCGAATTGAAAGAGAAGAATCACAGCTCATAAGGGATTCCCTGGTTATGGATAATTCAGGCCAATTAGGCCCAATTTGGACCCAAAAAGTAAACAAGAAATAGACAGAAGTGAAGAGATGAGGTATTTTAAAGGTGTAAGGCGACATTTGGAAGTATATAATTTGTATTTAAAATATTTTATATTTATTTATAAACATATTAATGTATTTAATACAGTTTTAAGATTATACATGTGATGTTGTGAGTAGTGACATTTGCTGACTATCCACTGAGTGTCTAGCATAGTCCTGGGGACAGGATCATGATGGGTATGGTGTATGATGTGTTCTTGCCCTTCCTGGAGCTCTCCGATGTGCATAATGCCATGTAATTGGACAAGTCGATAAAATATCCTTCCCTTACCCATCACCACTTCTCTCCCAACCTGTCGCTTGCCTCATAGTCCAGTTGGGCCATTTCAATCCCAGTTCATGGTTCTCAACCACAGGCTGAAGGGATAGAGCCCTTTCTGACTAGCATCTATTGTTCCCCGTACCCCCCCATGTGTGAATGTGTGTGTGTGTGTGTGTGTGTGTGTGTGTGTGTGTGTGTGTGTGTCCACACACATGCCCATCTACATACAGAGGCCAGAGGAGAACATCAGGTGTCCTGCTCTATTGCTCTTCCCTGTATTCTCTTGAGGCAGGGTCTCTCATTGAACCTGGAGCTAGGCTGACAGCTAGCAAGTCTCAGTGACCCTCCTGTCACTGCCTCCATCATGACGGGCATATTTGATCAAAGCCAGCTTTTGAGGGGACTTCACAGGGATTTGAACTTGGGTCCTCATGCTTGTACAACTTCCCATTGGACCATCTCCAAGCCCTAGCTCCCAGTTTTCAAAGGTCCATTTGTACTCTGCTTTGTAGACGATTCGTAGGCAAGACTCAAAGGAATTGATCTCATTAGAATTCTAACGCCCCTTAAGAATCTCTTTCTGGTAATTAGTTACTTTTCTAGTTGAGTCTTGCTGCTTTAGAGCCCACAAGGAAGGGGGTTGGCAATGGCCATGCATTAGACCCATGGTTTCCCCAGGGGTATGTTTTTAAGAAGAGAAAGAAACTTTTGGCAGGTCTGATGTGAGAAATGGTTCCAGGGCTATGGGGCAGAAGAGAAAAATGAGAGACAATGTGGATTATATCCATTTAAAGAGGAAATCCAGAAAGGGAATCAGAGTAACAGAGTAAAGTGGGAGGCAGCATGAGAACCTGTTGATGGGCACACACCACACTGCCCTCTTCAGACCAAAGATCTCATAGGTGTGGAAAACCTTGGAAAACAATGTGAGCAACCAATACACAGGATGTCTAAGAGCCAGAGGAAAGAGAGGCACAATATAAATAAATAAAATAAAATAAAATAAAATAAAATAAAATAAAATAAAATAAAATAAAATAAAAAAGAGGTTATAATACCCAACATAAAGGATAGTCTTTGGCTGAGAAAAGCCAATAGTTCTGACCAATGCCAGAAGCTTGGCCTGAAATGTTGAGTTTGTGTGGAGAGGATGTAGAGTGTGAGGGGCCCTAGTAACATGATCTTTTGTGGGACCCTAGGCCCTGGAATGAATGTCCTTCCCTGTGAAGTCTATTCTAGTAGTTAAGGGCAATCAGGATGTGAAGTTTCAGCCACATATATCTTCACCAAAGCTCTTCATGGTTGCACACAGAGAAAGAGCAATGGGCCAGAACTGAACCTAGGCTTGAGTACCTAGTTTTATCCTCTCCTCTGTGAGCCTGGAAGGAGATTCCTCGTCTCTTTAGGCCTGAGCTCTTCCCCTTGCGCAGCGAGGATGATGATGCCTGCTCTGCCTCTCTCAAGGTTGTTTGAAATTCAAACAGGATAAATGATAGTCTTTGTAAATGGTAAAAGCAGTGAACACGGATGAGGGTTTCAGACCATGCTTCTTCTTCCTTGATATGTGCTGTGATTTTTGGTTATGGCATCGAGGGTGGGATAGGGCATGGATTAAGCTTCTTCATCCAATCCTAGTCATCAAAATTGTACTCAAGTTTCAAGCTACTTGGAGATAGTGTGGAATTCCCATTCTTCCCACTTTGGTGTCCTCAACTCAGAATGAGTCCTATAACAGCAGCATCTGCCTTGCCTCTAAGGCAGTGGTTCTCAACCTAAGGGTCACAACTCCTTTGGATCAAATGACCCTTTCATAGGGGTCACCTAAAACCATCAGAAAACACAGATTAGATAGATAGATAGATA